AGGGTTTAGAAATTAATTAAAAATAATAATAATCATGAAAAAAATTAAATAATTATATGAAAATTACCTACACTTCAAAACGTACCAGTTGTAGTATTATAACCGATAATACGCAATAATAGAAATAATGCAAGAAATTGCACAATTAAACAAGAATAATTAATAAAAAAATATAATTACTTATATTTAAAATCAAATAATTATAAGATAATTATCTACATGATAAAACGTACCAGTTGTGCTAATACAATAGGTAATATGCAACAGTAAAAATAATATAACTAATTGTATAATTAAACGAGAATAATTAATAAAAATATAATTACTTACATTTAAAAATAAATAATTATGGAAGAATCATCTACATAATAAAATGTACCAGTTGTACTAATACAGCTGATAATATGCAATAGTAGAAATAATACAATAAATTACACAAATAATACATAATTAATAATACAATATAATACACAAAATAATACGTAATAGTAACAATAATACAACGTATTATTTAAAATAGTACGTAATAGTATCGATAATACAACAAATTAATTCTAGAAATTTTCACTGCCCGAAATTAATTTATAAATATTAAAATCATTAAAATAAATATAAAAGTTGGATTTTAAATCATAGAAATTTGTAGAAAATCAAGAAAAATATAAGTACTCTTTTAAAAATAATAATTGAGTATTTTAAAATACCAAAAAATTATTTTAATTAGTATCAAAATTTATGGTCCTTACAGTAGAGATTCTCTCGAATACTGAGACCATTTATGAAGCGGTCTTGGGGCAGCTACACTCTCATACTACTGCCCTGATAAGCTTGGCACATGGATAGTGAGAATCAATTTCCCAGATACCTCTCTTTCGAGACTTGTTTGTACCCCCAGCCCGATAGTACAACTCATCAGCGTTATTACCAGAGCAATCTATCAAGTGTCAACACGACTTCCCAGATATAACGTCGTCGTCATCTAAGGAATACGTTTCCTTCCGGGAATATAACGTCTTGTTGGCATTCTCAAGAGTCGCACATTTGGAGTCACACCTTCATGAGCGTGGAGTCTCAACGGGCTCTTGGACTTCGACTCGCAGTCCGATACGGTCGATTACAAAAACTTTTCTATTACGGGAGGTCTTCAACTTGTTGTGAGGGCATGTGTGACCCCCAGCTAGGGGTGCTATTTTGATAGTGAAATATCTGTATCCGTATCCGAAATATCCGAATACATATTAGTCATACTCTTACGATAGTTTCGATTCTTAGATTATAGATTTGTGGTTAATTTTGATGATCAAGATGTCTAATCTTAACTTTTCAATTATAATGGACATATTAACAAACTCTTTTGTATCACATGAACTATGTTTTTCTCAATACTATCTAGTTTTCTCATATCTGTTTTGTATCTACATGCATATCCGCTTATATATCAGCATATATATATATATATATATATATATCCGTAACCGTATCCGATTTTAGTGGATATGGTTGTGAATTTTTCTTACCGAGGTATATCCGTATCCATATCCATATTCGAGATGGGTAAGCGGATATTGATATGATAAGCATCATATCCAAGTCGTATCCGGACCGAATGCACCCCTACCCTCAGCGCAATGAGTCGCTCGGGGTTCATTCACCGGGCCTAAGCGTTCCTTGATCGAAACTTTGCCTCGATCCTCATGCAAAAGACCAATACGATCCGCCATCGTCATCTTAAATCAGGATAGATCCACACTGCCGTGGGACATCACTAGAGATACAGGATCAACTAGGGTAGGAACGGAACTCAACGGAAGTGAAGAGATAGCCACGGGAGCCAGATTGGCTTTCGGTCTTCTCGACCGCTGTTTTGGACTTGGGCCTCCATACTTGGCGTGGTTTTGGTGGTTTTTTGGCCACCTCTTCCTATTGCAATTTCTGTGCCTCTTGCACGAGAATCTGTGTGTGTGCAAGTAGTACATGATGCTTCTAAATACGCTCCTCGAGAGTCGAACGGGTCCTTTTGACGCGGACCCATTCACCGGTTGATGGTTTGGAGGAAGAGCCATTTGCTCGCTGCTGAGGCACATGGCGTTTTCTGAATTCTAGATCCGCCTTATAATGAATCCCGTCAACCAGCTCCTAGGCCTTGGATAATTGACGCACGAGGCGTTGGCATTGCTTTTGACGAGCCCTCTTTGACAGAGTCGGCACGCCTTCAGCACTCGACTCCTTGATTGAGGAGGAGTTCAAATCTGCAGATCCGACTTCATTGGATGCCGGAGGGGCGTTGCAAGGCGCAACTTCAATAGCAATGGGATGGTGATCATCGCCCTGGGTCTTCAGATCTGAAGACTAGCGGAACTTCCTGTACTTGCGAGGGGATGAGGATCTGGAGGAAGATGACAGGTATTCCTCGTACTTCTATTGGTCGAACTCTTACTTGACCTCTGTATCAACCGAGATTAGGATCCTTGGTTGTGACACTACAGCCTCAGCAGAGAGGCTGTTGGCTCCTACTGTGGTCGCCAGCGTCTTTACGTTGAAACGTTGAAAGTTGGTTTCTTTATTGCAGGACTCATTACAACTTTAGTCATTACAATAAGTTCAAAATGAAGGACTTTTTATAAGACTCCTTACACAATGAAAATAAAAAAGTTACAACTCTTTTCAAACACACGCAGAGGACGTTTATCACCCACTGTTTATGTGTGATCTTTGCATGTGTCGGGGTTTATCCGTAGACCATGGATCAGATCCGGTTGATCGGAAGGCTAAATGTCCATTGCTTCACAAAGGAAACAAGAACAGAAGTAAATAATCTCAACCAAGTGAGATTACTACTCTTCTCGAGATCAGTACAAATTCTGATATCAAGGAATAGTAGAACGGACCTCAGATCTCTCGAAACGCTCCTTCTTTATGCCAGAGTTCATCAAAATCTCGCTAGCCTCTCTGAAATTTGTGGATCACTCTTCACAGGGACAACACCTCGCCTAAATTTCAGATCCCTGTGTATATGACCTTAGGCTTGTATTTATAGGCTTCAGTTGTGGTGTTTTTGGATAAGAACAAGTGATTTGGTCTCATCTTCAGTTGATAACATCCTAACTATGTTTAGGGATGATATCCAAGTAGTTGAGAGGCTCTGCAACAAATAAATCCCGAGAAAACATTGAAATATGCATTTTTAGGAACCGGGGTGTGAGTCAGATCAATGTGACACACGGGTGTGAGGGTCACATTAAGGTGACATGCGGATGTGAGGGTCACATTAAGGTGACCCACAGGTGACACACATGAGTGCGGGTCACTTTGATGCGATTTCCAAGCGACTATGTCTTGTTTTGGCCTTGTTCTGTCGTTTCACGCACGTTTCGACGTTTCTTTGACTTGTATGCTTTGCTGACTTGTTTTGCTTCTCCACGGTATCAGATAATCCTCTTTTGACTCGAATAATGGCGTTCATCACATTATCGTTATTTTGAGTTGTGTGTGGAAACCTATAGGCAATTTTTGATGTCTACACCGACTTCCATCTTTTTTTGCCTATAAATCCAAACTTTATCCCCCATTTACTTTTAAACTGACTTTCTTTGAAAATCACTTCAAAACCACAAAATATTCTATTGAATTAATTTCAAATCACTTGGTATTTTAGCAGTTTAATACACAACATAAGTTATTATATTTTATTAGCCTACATTACAAAACTAGTATTTTTTATACACCCCTCTTTTGTCACTTTCATATTTTTTCTAGCTTCGGCGAAATTCTTTTTGGGAGCCAAATGTGCAATTAGACCAAAAAATTCATAGCGAGCAAAAAAAGCCATGCACTTTACGTAGTGCTATTGGTGTTATCTTATTCATAAGGGAAATGCCAAAAGATTATTTGGCACATTGGTATAATGATAATAACTATGTCAATGCCTATACAAGATTAAATTTTGGCACAAAGAAGGGGAAGACATGATATTACTTCCAAATATGGTCAAGAGAAAGTTTGGGAGGCCGAAATATGCTAGAGGAGGTTCGCGTCTATTTTTCTCCAATGGCGTAGTTATGGGTCTAATTGCACATTTGGATTAGAAAAAAATATCAATATGTATTGCTAAAGCTAGAAAAATGGCAAACTGATAAGTGGAGCGTACTTACCAATCTGGTAATTTAGCCTAATGTATGATTGATAATTTAACCTATTTTACTATTATTTGCTACAATTTTGTTCTAAGTCCTAAGTGTATTTTCAAACCAAATGCGTAAATTGTTATTTTTGTCCATTTTCAGATCAAGCGGTATCACAAATTATAGATGAGTTTTCTGCCTATAAATCCAAGGTAGTACCCCTATTTATTTTAAAAACCCATCCACTTTCAGAATTACCCTCAGGTACAAATACAACACCAAATTAATTCTAAATCCATTTTAAAACAATAGTTTTGTATAAAAAAATGATAACTACATTACTCCTACTCTACTATAAGGTGGCGTTGTGTACCATGTAAGATTAAATAACCTTTATCAGGAAAAAGAAAGTTGTCAAAAATTTATGTTCTCAAAACAACCTCTTCATCTCCTAGCTCTTCTTACACTTTCGTTCCTATTTGACCCCGTTAAACTCATCTACAAGGAAAGAAGTTATGCTAATTTTAATGATTTTTTAATAAAAAGTTTAGCCTTTTCTTTTACAGTGGATTACTTTGCACATTTTGATAGGCAAAGTAAGTATAGTTGTCAAAAATATTACAGTGATGTTCCTTTTTGGTTAATAGTTCAATCTCTTCGTAGAAACTCTTTGTTTATTAATCAAAAGAGTAATATAATTGTTTTGTTGTAATGACCTTCTTAAAAAAAAGATATTGTAATTAGCATGTCTTCTTCTCTTTTGTTGCTCATATCCCACAAAAAAAAAGGAAAAAAAAGAAATAGAAGATGATAAAAACATCTAGAAAATTAAAATTTAGGTAGTTTTTGTCCAAATATAATTGACAATTGATATCATATAATCAGCATGTCAGAACCACCTCAGCGTAGTGTAGCGTAGTAGTGTAAAAATTATCATTAGCCCGCCAAACAGAAAAAAAATGAAAAGGGTTAACAAACCCGCACGTGACCCCAAATTCTCATTTATCCCGTCGATAGACGGCTTAACTAGTCCTCGTAAGAAGGCGGAACAACCTTTATTTCGGCTTCTCACGCGAGGGTAGACAGCGGAATTTAGAAAAAAAAATTCATCTGAATCTCGTGCGGGGAGGCAGAGCGGAGTTCGGCAGCGGAATTAGGGGAATTAGGCAACGGAATTTGGAGGGAAAGAAGCAGCGGAATTAGGGGAATTAGGAAAAAAATTTCAATTTGGATCTGTTCTCATTACCACTAGCTTCTTTCGTCACAAGCTCTAGATTGAACAAGGAGATTCCTTTCGGTGATCTTGATGGAGATCTGGTTGTAAATTTTTCTGGTTTTTAGGCAAAATTTGATCTATGTTTTCTCTCTCTAAGTAGAAACAAGATGGCAGGGAGAAGAGTTTATGGAGGTTCAGAGATGAGTGTTTTGTTGCAGAATGAAGGGATTTCTTCTGAGGCTTTCCAGACTTTGATTTTTTCTAGCTCCTCTCATACTGGTTTCTGTGGTAAGCTCCTTTTCCTTTTCATATTTATTATGATACTAAGGTTAAATTTCAAGTTAAGCTCTGATCAATTTTTTGGAAATGATAAATAGTTAATGTGCTCAATGGATTAGAGATGAATGAGGATGAAGATGAGGCGGATGAGGAAGAAGACCCCCAATACATGGTTGGTGCAGATGAAAGTTTAAGGGGTGAATAGCTTCGCAACAGGATTGCTTTACAGTTTTGGAATAATTGAAATAAGTAGTTGTTGAATATTAAAGTATAAGGAGGTTGAATTATGTCTTTTATTATCTTTTATGAGCAAAACTTATAATTCCATATAGAGCTATTGAGTAGATAGTTTTTTTCCTTGAATAATCAAATCTTTTTTTTTCTCTTGAATAATCAAATCTTTTTTGCCAAGTTTATTGATAGATAAGAAGCCATATAATATTTTGTTAGCTCATTATCTCTCTTTATCTTTTGAATTAATGCGAAAATGATAATTTATATTTATTTACCTTCTGAACAATCATTTATTGAATAATACCAAATTGTCATTTTAGCGTTATTTCAAAAAAGATATTAATCCCTCGTGTCTCAACTGAATTACATATTAGTGCTTCAAATCTTTGAAATTGCTCAGAAGGTAAATAATGCGAAAAAGATATTAAGGAAGGCAATTAGTTATAATTTTTTAGTAAGGACGAAAGTGATATTTTAAAAAAATAATGAGATTAATCTCCTTAGCCCTTCTTCATTTGCCAAACACAAAAGACTTAACCCCTTGTCTTAACTATAGAATCCAAACGGAATTATAATATTTTTAACCATTCATAATGGATTAACTAAGTTAATCCTTCTCATTAATCCCTATTCATTAACCCTTTGCCAAAAGTGGCCTAAGTATATGGTGTAAGTTGATATATTTTTATTGTAACTTGCTACATTTTTATTGTAAAGGGCTAGTGTAATTTCAAACCAAATGCTTAAAAAAAAAAGTTCGAAACTATTGTCACCGTAACACGCGAATCAATTTTGCTGGTTTTCGCTAAAAAATTTAATAGGGTTTACTAGTGCCAGCAGCGTCGCCACTCTCACCACCTCTCATTTCCAATGGCGCCCATACACTTACAAATCCCCGTCTCTCCTCTCTCAGTTTCCATCCCCAACTCAAAAAATCCATGGCGATGTCGGCGATCTCAACCTCTCTTCTCCTATCCTCGATCCCTTCAACAATCAGGGCCAAAAAAGGCCGGTCCTTTATCGACGCATCAGCGAGATCTGAACCCTCAAACCTCAGAAAAGAAGACATCGTCGTCGTCGGCGCTGGGATCGCCGGCCTAGCCACCGCTCTCTCGCTTCACAGGTGAATTTCCCATCTCAAATCTTAACTAACTTTCCACTGGATCTGATGAGATTTACGAGATTGCCACAGGCTAGGGTTCCGATCGCTGGTCCTGGAGCAAGGGGAGTCGCTGCGGACCGGAGGGACCTCGCTGACGCTGTTTAAGAATGGATGGCGCGTGCTGGACGCTATTGGGGTCGGGGACGAGCTCAGGAGCAAATTCCTCCAAATTCAAGGGTAAATTCGTCAAATTTTCATTTAAAAATTGGGTTTTTATGTGATTTATAAAGGCAAAAATATTGGAAAATTTATACTGAATTATTTTTAAATCCGGCTTAAGCTTCTTACACCCAGATAAAGATATAGAGCATCTCCAACGGACCCCTACAATCTCCCTTAATCTAGGGGGACTTTTAAAGGAGGGGAATGTTCTCCTCCAATGTTCCCCCCTAAAAGTCCCCCTACCCTTTAATTATTCATATTTAGTATTTTAATTTTATAGATTAGGATTTAATTAAATATGTGGTTTATTTATAAATGAATAAATAATTAAATATTAATAACTAAAAATAATTAATTAATTAATTTAAATTAAGAAATTACCTTATATAGTCATTAAATTAATTAATAATATTAAATTTTAATAAATAATTAATTTATATAATAATTAATTTATATAAATCATGTTAAAAGTTAAATATTTTTTTAAATTTAAATTCATATTATTTTAATATTAATTTCATTTAACAATAATATCTCAACGGCCATATCTCAACGATCATGTTATAACGTTCATATTTCTTCGGTCATATATCAACGATCATATTTTAACGGTCATATTTTAACGGACGTTCTTTTAATTAAATGTGGTCACTCCCTCTATAAATAGCACTACTAGTGTCTTTCGTTTTCACTAAATTCAAATTCATTTAATTTTTTTAACCCAATCTTCAATATTATTTATGGTTAGTAATTTGTTACGTGCCTTGCTACAAGAGGAAGAGGATGACGACGATGATGATTATGCGACCTTATTAGCAATCGCATCTTTGGAAGAACACCACTCCAACGAATGTCAAAGTTCATGTCGTCGTGGTTCCATTCCAAGGCGCGTTGTAATTCAACGCAATAGAGCTGAAGGTCACGAGAGACTTTTTCATGATTATTTTAGTGAATCTCCTGTCTATCATGCAAAACTATTTTGAAGGAGGTTTCGTATGCATCGTCCATTATTTTTGCGTATTTTATCCGTAGTGGAAACAAACGATTCGTACTTTATCCAGAAACGGGATGCTGTTAGGAAAATTAGTTTATCCTCACTACAGAAAGTAACTGCTACTATGAGGATGCTTGCTTATGAAGTATCAGCAGATTCTGTGGATGATTACGTGCGGATTAGAGAAAGCGCCGCTATAGAGTCTCGACGGGTTTATCAAAGCAATTGTTGTAATTTTCGGTGATGAGTATCTAAGGTCACCAACTGACGAGGACACTGCAAGATTGCTTGCAATTAGCGAACAACGAGGATTTCCTGGGATGTTAGGAAGCATTGACTGCATGCATTGGAGATGGAAGAATTGTCCGGCTGCATATCATGGTATGTATACTGGTCACATCCACACTCGTACAATAATTTTAGAAGCTGTTGCTTCCTATGATCTTTGGATTTGGCATGCTTTTTTCGGTTTATCGGGAGTTATTAATGACATTAATGTGTTAGAACGGTCTTTCGTCTTTTCTCAACTTGCTGAAAGGCATGGTCCGACTGTTAATTATACAGTCAATGATCATGAATACACGATGGGATACTACCTTGCTGATGGTATATATCCGTCATGGTCAACATTTGTTAAAACAATTTCTTTACCACAAGGAAATAAAATAATATATTTACACTTCATGAGTCGGCAAGAAAGGATGTAGAGCGAGCATTCGGAGTATTCCAATCACGCTTTACAATTGTGCGTGGACCAGCTCGCTCTTGGGATGAGAAAATATTAAAAAATATTATGCAAGCATGCATAATAATGCATAACATGATCGTTAAAGATGAAAAAAATGATGATTATATCGACTTCATGTATGATGCTGCTGAGGAAGCTCCAACTATATCAGTGTCTCACGAACGTCCAATAGATTTGTGTGAATTTATTCAGAATCATCATCGCATTAGAGACAGGCAAACTCATTCTCAATTGCTGTTGGATCTTGTCAAGCACTTATAGGAACGAAATGGTGGGCTTTAGTAAGGAATTTGTCTGCTGATGTAATATTAATGTCATTGAATTTAGTGTTGCAAGTAAGGACCTGTTAGTTGATGTTGAATTTCTATATCAATATGTGATCTAATTTAATTTTCGAGAAAAGTTTCCATTTGCATAAATAGAACTTCATAAAATCTTCAAATATGATACATCATCTTCAAGTACGATACAACAAGAGTAAATTAAAATACATAAAAACACACTAAATAAATTATAGATTTGAACCGTCACCATCTTTCTTCTAATTTGAACTGCCACCAAATTGTCTTCCAAGAATTTTTATTTTCAGCTTATTGTAATACTCTACTTGTAATGAAGGCATGCCATCAGTGTTAATTGTCATAATCCTGTCATCTTGTTTCATAACTTTCAATCGTATTTTTTTCTTTTTGATATTTTGAAATTCTTGAGCGACTTGTAGTCTGGCTTGCTCAATCTTTATGCGCTCTTTCTCCTGAACATAAATTTGATCAAATAATTCTGCTCTTTTTGTTTCTTTTTCTTTCCGATCTTGCTTCATTTCATCAATAAACAACATCACTAGTGTAATTTCAGAAGTCATATGCTTGTTTTTATCTTGTTTCAATCTTTCTTTTACATCCTTTCTACCTATGGGCCTTGATGATCCCTCAGTAGGACATTCGTCTTTCCTGCAATTTATTGAATCTGGAGTTGCAGGAGAAGAAGTAGCAGGACTTTAATTTTTTGACTTCTTAGATTTTTTTCATTGAAAATTGGTCAAGCCATTTTGGATGGAACCTTAACTCATTCTAACAATGTAAAAATTGAAAACTTACTCCTTGCATGCTTTGAAACATTTGCATCGCTTCCATAATCTAATTAAAAAATAAAACAAATTTACTAACATGTAAAAAGTAAAACAATTAATAAATTATATAAATCCAACCAGTTTAAATAAATTGAAGCCACAATTAGTACCTTGTCATTTTCTATCACACACCACTTTAATATCTTGCTTCAATTTGATTAAAACACCCACAAAATTTACTAACTGCAATTTGAATAGCCGACCAACGGTGTTCTAACCCTTTTTTATCACGATCGCTACTGAATGTCTTGTTTTCTTGATAGTAAGTTGCTACTCGGTGCCAAACTTTATAATATTTTTGTAATGTTCCTTGCACTGGATTAATGCTAGTGTTGAGCCATGCAGATACAAGCAAGATGTCTTATTCCATCCGATATTTTGATTTTCGCATCGACTTCTTTTGCAATGGTACATCTTCTACAGAATTTTCTTCGGGTATGTCCGGTTGAAACAATTGCTCTTCATATTGATCTTTCCATGGATAATGACTAGTCATCAAATTGACATAATATGGATTATTATTTTCTGCCATCTACATCAAGTATAAATCTCACATGAGTATGATTTAATTAAAATTCTCAAATTGTTGAAAATATAAGAAACATGAAGTGCAAAAATAAAAAAAAAATTAAACAAAAATTATAACATACCATAAATTATAGTATATATGATGAAATAGAGGTAGAAACAATAAAAGAGTGAAGTGTGAAAGTGCACTTCAGGGTAGTGCCTTATTTATAGGATAAAAATTAGTTAGATAATTAAAAAAATTAGCTATTGGAGCTAAAAAAAGCCTATATTAGAAAAACAACCTATACTAGAAAAAAAACTTATACTAGAAAAACACATTATACTACAAAGACAACCTATAATTAAAAAAAACCTATACTAGAAAAGCAACCTATATTAGAAAAAAACCTATACTAGAAAAACACCCTATACTTGAAAAACAACATATAATTAATAAAAAATATTAATAAAAATTTATAATAAAAATTATAAGGGGTACGTTTTAAAAAATATTAATCAAATTGAATTAACTATACATTAACTCAATTATTTTATTTTGAATTGACTATACATTAACTAAATTTGATTAACTATAAATTAACTCCATTAAAAATATTAATTTAAAATTATAAGGGGAAGGTTAAGGGATTTTAACATTCCCCTTAATTTGGGGAGAGAGTTAAGGGGTTTAGGGTGAATGGGCATTTTTTCCGGCTCGTTGGAGCAACTTTCCCTCCAAAGTTCCTTAATTAAGCTAAGGGGTCGGATTTTTCTGGCCCCTTGGAGATACCTTTTAATACTTTGTATCTGGAGTACTTTACTTAATTTCCTTTGCAGTCTTAGGTTTTGGCGGTATTTATCACGCGCTTCTTGGACCTAAGACTCTTGAGGAATCTTTTCCATTCTTCGGTTATGTATGGAAAGAGAGAAATAAAATGAATACAATTTTGGGTATTCACTTAATTTTGTTAGGTACAAGTGCTTTTCTTCTAGTACTTAAAGCTCTTTATTTTGGGGGCTTATATGATACCTAGGCCCCTAGGGGTGGAGATGTAAGAAAAATTACCAACTTGACCCTTAGCCCAAGTGTTATATTTGGTTATTTACTAAAATCTCCTTTTGGGGGAGAAGAATGGATTGTTAGTGTGGACGATTTAGAAGATATAAGGGCATCTCCAAGGGGTTAAAAAAATTCGGCCCCTTAGCTTAATTAAGGAACTTCGGAAGGGAAGCTGCTCCAACGAGCCGAAAAAAACGCCCCTTCACCCCAAACCCGTTAACTCTCTCCCCAAATTAAGGGGAAGGTTAAAGTACCTTAACCTTCCCCTTATAATTTTATATTAATATTTTTTTAATGGAGTTAATGTATAGTTAATCAAATTTAGTTAATGTATAGTTAATTCAAAATAAAATAATTGAGTTAATGTATAGTTAATTCAATTTGATTAATATTTTTTAAAACGTACCAAATAAAATAATTGAGTTAATGTATAGTTAATTCAATTTGATTAATATTTTTTAAAACGTACCCCTTATACTTTTTTATTAATATTTTTATTAATTTTAGGTTGTTTTTCTAGTATAAGGTGTTTTTTAGTATAGGTTTTTTTCTAGTATAGGATGTTTTTCTAGTATAGGCTTTTTTTAATTATAGGTTGTCTTTGTAGTATAGAGTGTTTTTCCAATATAGGTTTTTTTCCCTAGTATTGGTTGTTTTTTTAGTATAGGTTTTTTTTAGCTCTAATAGCTAATTTTTTTAATTATCTAACTAATTTTTACACTATAAATAAGGCACTATCCTGAAGTGCACTTTCACACTTCACTCTTTCATTGTTTCTACCTCTATTTCATCATATATACTACAATTTAAGGTATGTTATAATTTTTGTTTAATTATTTTTGTTTTTTTATTTTTGCTCGTCATGTTTCTTATATTTTTAACAATTTGAGAATTTTAATTAAATCATACTCATGTGAGATTTATACTTGATGTATGTTAGAATTAAGTATTGTCTTATCGGGTTAAGACCCAATAACCTATTACCCACTTGTACTCCTATATATACTGCATTTCCCACACCAACCGCTCCATCACTTGATCAATCTGTTATGTTCTCCAGATATGGCAGAGGTCGTGGTCGTAGTCGAGGACGTGACCGCGACACAAAGGGAGGACGTGGCACATTTGGGAGACAGGTTGACTCCGATAAGACTCTGCGTCAGTGTAGATATTATGGGAGGACTAATCATATATCTGAGAAGTGCTGGGAGAAGTTTGATCACCCTGCATGGGCCAAAATTACTGATATTACATTTATCTCTGTTGATTCTCCGACTACTACTTTTGCTCCCTTCACTGTTCAAATTTCGCAAGCTGAGTATGACCGGTTGCGTCAACTCGAGTCTTCTCAGAATAGTCATTTTGCTACTCATGCATCCTCTTCAGGTATGGATGCCTACATTGCCTCTCCTCACAAGCCATGGGTATTAGATTCTGGTGCCTCTTCTCATATGACAGGTATAAAGGATCACTTTGTTTCTTTAAAACTGTCTGACAAGTTTTCATCGGTCTGCATTGCTGATGATACATATTCTCCAGTTCTTGGTGATGGAGTAGTCTATGCTACTTCATCACTGACCCTTACTGACGTCTTAAAGTATTTGTGGTCTGATGTTCTCAGTGCATGTTTCCTGATTAATAGGATGCCCTCTCCTGTTCTTAATGGTACAATACTGTTCACCTACCTTTATCCTGACAAAAAACCTTTTCCTGTGGTTCATCGTGTTTTTGGCTGTACTTGATTTGTTCAGGATTTGTCTCCAGGACTGGATAAAATATCTCATCGGTCTATTAAGTGTCTTTGTAGGCTACTCGCGTACTCAAAAAGGTTATCGGTGTTATAACTCATCCACCAGGAGATATTTTTTGTCAGCAGATGTAACTTTTTTTTAGTATGTTTCATACTTCTCGACTAGTTCATCTCCACCTGTCAATCCATCTATGCCTATTCCTTCTATTGCTCCTACTACTGTTCCATTACCTGCTTTCGTTCCTTTTGCTAATGGATCTCCAAGATTACAAAATACCTCCATTGTGCCATTTGCACCACCGCCACTACTGACGTATTGTCGCCGTCCAAAAGTTCCTGTCCCTCTCTCTGCTCCAACCGAACAGTCATCTCCCGTTGCAGGTCTGTCTCCTTCTAATATTTCTAATTCCCCTGATCTGGACATTCCAATTGCTCATCGGAAAGGTAAACGGTCTTGTACTAATCATCCTATATCTGATTCCTGATCTGGACATTCCAATTGCTCATCGGAAAGGTAAACGGTCTTGTACTAATCATCCTATATCTGATTTTGTTTCTTATGACCCCAATTGCTCATCGGAAAGGTAAACGGTCTTGTACTAATCATCCTATATCTGATTTTGTTTCTTATGACCATCTTACTCCCTCTTCTCGTCAGTTTACTTTGTCCTTGTCCTCTATATCTCTACCTAGGTCATATGAGGAGGTCGTGTTAGTTCCTTCTTGGAAACAGGCCATGGATGAGGAGATGGATGTACTTGTTTCTAGAAGGACTTGGGATCTTGTATCTTTTCCGACGGGTGCTACAGTGGTTAGCTGTCGATGGGTTTATACCTTGAAGTATCGCACAGATGGTTCGATTGATCGATATAAAGCTCGTCTTGTCGTTAAGGGTTATCTCAAACCTATGAGGTCGACTATCTTGAGACGTTCTCTCCCGTAGCCCGTCTTAATTCCATTCGCCAACTTTTTTCTATGGTCGTTAATCTGGACTGGACAATGTTTCAGCTGGATGTTAAAAATATCTTTCTGTATAATGACTTACAGGAGGAAGTCTATATAGAGCAACCTTTAGGGTATGTTGCTCAGGGAGAGAATATTGTCTGCAAGCTTAAAAAGGCGATTTATGGTCTCAAACCGAGTCCACGGGCATGATTTGAGAAATTTAGTATTGCTATATCTGGTGTCGGTTTCAAACGATGTCGGTCTGATCACTCCGTTTTTATTCGGCTCACTACATCTGATCTGGTGATTCTAGCAGTATATATTGATGACATCTTACTAACTGGGAGTGACATTGCTATCTTAGCAGAGACTAAGGAGTACCTTTCACGTCACTTTGTAACCAAAGATATAGAAAAACCCAAATACTTTCTTGGGATTGAGATTGCATATTAAAAGGACCGTTTGCTTCTATCTCAAAGAAAATATGCATTTGACTTATTAGAAGAGAGAGGCCTTTTGGGGTGTAAGCCAGCAAACACTCTCATGGAGGTGAATGTGGATTTGTGACGTGCTAATAGTCCTCTCCTAGATGATGCAGGCCGATGTAGGAGATTGATTGGGAAGTTAATCTTACTGTAACCAGACCTGATATTACCTTTACAGTGGGAGTACTGAGCAGGTTTATACATAAATCTAGAGAGGTTCACTGGACTGCTGCTTTGAGAATTTTAGCTTATGTTAAAAGCTGTCCGGGAAAAGGATTACTGTATAAGAAACATGGACATTTACACATCTCTGCCTATTCTGATGTTGGGTATGCGGGAGATATTGGAGATAGAAAGTCTACTTCTGGATTTTACACATTTATTGGAGGAAATTTGGTTATTTGGAGGAGCAAGAAACAAGATGTAGTATTTCAATCTAGTGCAGAGACAGAATACAGAGCTATGACCCACACTATTTATGAGATGATATGGTTACAGAAGCTGCTGACTGAGCTTGGTTTTACTCAGCCTGGATTTATACCTATGCATTGTGATAATCAATCTGCTATCCATATTGTAAAGAATCTAGTGTTTCATGAGAGAACTAAGCACATTGAAGTTGATTGTAATTTTGTCAGAGATGCTTGGGAAAAAAAGTGATCTCTCTTCGGTTTACTCCGTCCTCAGAACAGTTAGCTGATATTCTCACTAAAGCTATTTCACCTAAGGTGTTTTTCATTCTGTGTAAGAAGCTGGGCATGATTGATATATATGCTCCAGCTTAAAGGGGGTGTTAGAATTAAGTATTAGGTTATCGGGTTAAGACTCAATAACCTATTACCCACCTGTACTCCTATATATATGGAGCCATGAGGAGAAACCCTAATATGATTTTGATTTACCATTTCAACAATGTAGATGGTAGGAAATAATAATATATATTATGTCAATTTGATGACTAGTCATTATCCATGGGAACATCAATATGAAGAGCAATCGTTTCAACCAGACATACCCGAAGAAAATTCGGTAAAAGATGTACCATTGCGAAAGAAGTTGATGCGAAAATCAAAATATCGGATGGAAGAAGACATCTTGATTGTATCTGCATGACTCAACACTAGCATTGATCTAGTGCAAGGGGCATTGCAAAAATATTCTAAATTTTGGCACCGAGTAGCAACTTACTATCAAGAAAACAAGACATTCAGTAGCGATCGTGATAAAAAAGGGTTAGAGCACCGTTGGTCGGCTATTCAAACTGCAGTTAGTAAATTTTGCAGGTGTTTTAATCAAATTGAAGCAAGAAATCAAAGTGGCGTGACAGAGAATGACAAGGTACTAATTGTGGCTTCAAATTATTTAAACTGATTGGATTTATATAATTTATTAATTGTTTCTATTTACATGTTAGTAAATTTATTTTAATTTTTAATTAGATTATGGAAATGATGCAAATGTTTCAAAACATGCAAGGAGTAAGTTTTTAATTTTTACATTGTTGGAATGAGTTAAGGTTCCATCCAAAGTGGCTTGGCCAATTTTCAATGAAAAAAATCTAAGAAGTCAAAAAATTCAAGTCCTACATCTCCTCCTGCAACTCCAGATTCAATAAATTGTAGGGCAGACGAATGTCTTCCTGAGGGTTCGTCAAGACCCATAGGTAGAAAGGTTGCAAAAGAAAGGTTGAAATAAGGTAAAGACAAGCATATAGCTTCTGAAATTACACCAGTAATGTTGTTTATTGATGAAATGAGGCAGGATCGGAAAGAAAAAGAGTCAAAAAGAGCAGAATTATTTGATCAAATTTATGTTCAGGAGCAAGAGCGCACAAAGATAGAGCAAGCCAAACTACAGATCGCTTAAGTAGCTCAAAATATCAAAAAGGAAAAAATACGATTGAAAGTTATGAAACAAGATGAGAGGATTATGGCAATTAACACTGATGGCATGCCTCCATTACAAGTAGAGTATTATAATAAGCTGAAGATGGAAATTCTTGGAAGACAATTTGGTAGTGGTAGTTCAAATTAGAAGGAAGATGGTGGCGGTTCAAATCTACAATTTATTTAGTGTGTTTTTATGTATTTCAATTTACTCTTGTTGTATCGTACTTGAAGATGATGTATTGTATTTGAAGATTTTATGAAGTTCTATTTATGCAAATGGAAACTTTTCTTAAAATTAAATTAGATCACATATTGATATAGAAATTAAACATCAACTAACAGGTCCTTACTTGCAACACTAAATTCAATGACATTAATATTACATCAGCACACAAATCCTTTACTAAAGCCCACCATTTCATTCCCTTAAGTGCTCGACAAAATCCAACTGCAATTGAGAATGAGTTTGCCTGTCTCTAATGCAATGATGATTCTGAATAAATTCACACAAATCTATTATACGTTCGTGAGACACTGATATGGTTAGAGCTTCCTCAGCAGCATCGTACGTGAAGTCGATATAATCATCATTTCTTTCATCTTCAACGATCATATTATGCACGCTTGCATAATATTTTTCAATATTTTCTCATCCCAAGAGCGAGTTGGTCCACACACAATTGCAAAGCGTGATTAGAGTACCCCGAATGCTCGCTCTACATCCTTTCATGCCGACTCATGAAGTGTAGCAAAATGTTTTCTTTTATTTCCTTGTGATAAAGAAGTTGTTTTAACAAATGTTGACCATAACGGATATATACCATCAATTAGGTAGTATCCCATCGTGTATTCGTGACCACTGACTGTATAATTAACAGTCGGACCATGCCCTTTAGCAAGTTGAGAAAAAACGGAAGACCGTTCTAACACATTAATGTCATTAAGAGCTCCCGGTAAACCGAAAAAAGCATGCTAAATTCAAAGATCGTAGGAAGGAACAACTTCTAAAATTATTGTACGAGTGTGGATGTGACTAGTATACATACCATGATACGCAACCGGATAATTCTTCCATCTCCAATGCATGTAGTCAATACTTCCCCGGAAATCCCCGTTGTTCGCCAATTGCAAGCAATCTTGCAGTTTCCTCGTCAATTGGTGACCTTAGATACTCATCACCGAAAAATTGCAACAATTGCTTTAGTAAACCGACCGAGACTCTATAGCAGTGCTTTCTCCAATCCACACATAATCATCCACAGAATCTGCTGATACTCCATAAGCAAGCATCCTCATAGCAACAGTTACTTTCTGTTGTGAGGATAAACCAATTTTCCCAGCACCATCCCGTTTCTGGACAAAGTAGGAATTGTGTGTTTCCACTACAGATAAAATACGTAAAAATAGTGGACGATGCATACGAAACCTCTTTCGAAATAGTTTTGCAGGATACACAGGAGATTCACTAAAATAATCATGAAAAAGTCTCTCGTGACCTTCAACTCTATTGCGCTGAATTACAACGTGCCCTGGAATGGAACCACGACGACATGAACTTTGACCTTCGCTAGAGTGGTGTTCTTCCAAAGATGCGATTGCTAATAAGGTCGCATAATCATCATCGTCGTCATCCTCTTCCTCTTGTAGCAAGGCACGTAACAAATTACTAGCCATAAATAATATTGAAGATTGGGTTAAAAAAATTAAATGAATTCGAATTTAGTGAAAATGAAAGACACTGGTAATGCTATTTATAGAGAGAGTGACCACATTTAATTAAAAAACGGTCGTTGATATATGACCGAAGAAATATGAATGTTATAATACGACCATTGAGATATGACCGTTGAGATATTATTGTTAAATGAAATTAGTATTAAAATAATATGAATTTAAATTTAAAATAATATTTAACTTTTAACATGATTTATATAAATTAATTACTTGTTAAATTTTAATATGATTAATTAATTTAATTATTATATAAGGTAATTTCTTAATTTAGTTATTAATATTTAATTATTTATTCACTTATAAATAAACCACATATTTAATTAAATCCTAATCTATAAAATTAAAATACTAAATATGAATAATTAAGGGGTAGGGGGACTTTTAAGGGGGAACATTGGAGGAGAACATTTCCCTCTTTTAAAAGTCCCCCTAGATTAAGGGAGATTATAGAGATCTCTTGGAGATGCTCTAATAGCAACTTAGACCAAATATAGCTGCTGATTGCCAATTATAGCTGTTGAAATAGTAATATGTTTAGGGGCTTATGTGTAAGTTGTAGGGGCCTATATAAGCCCATCTTATCTCATGAATAAGATTAGGGTTTTCATTTACAATATGGTATCAGAGCCACCAAAACCCTAACCCTAGCCGCCCCCCCTCTCAACCGGTTGAGTTCTTAACCGTTTAAAAAGAACACCCGTTCACATATTCAACATTGTGACAGGTTGTTATTAATAACACCAAAATCCATGCCTTACACGCATGGGGAATTTCATCCTGAATCCTAAGAAAGGATATGCCGACGCCTAACACGCGTCGCCGGTTTAGTCTTTCCCCGTAGAAAAAGACACCAGAGTTCGATTCTGGGGTATTTTATCCCGAAGCCTAAGGAGGGATAAGTCAACGTTTAATACACGTTGCTGGGTAGCCTATTCCCATGACAACGGCGAAGTCTATGTATTCAAAGTCATAGCAACAAGTCTTAGAGGATTCAGTCTCTAAGCACAACGTTACATGCGGAACGGATTTAGACAATTCGCATGCTAGCCCGACTCAAACGGTAGTCGGTAAAGGTTAATCAAATCCGTTAAAGGCTTGGGGTTAGCCAAAAATCCTAAAGTCAGCGCCTAACACGCGTCGCCGGGTAGTCTATTCCCGTGAGAAAGACGAAGTCTACGTATTCGAAGTCGTAGCATCAAGTCTAAGGGAGTTCATTCCTTTAGCACAACGTCACATGCGGAACGGACTTAAGACAATCCGCATGTAAGCCCGATTCAAACGGTAATCGGTAAAAGCATGACAAATCCGTTGAGGGCTGAGGATTTGCCAAAAATCCTAAGTCAACGTCTGATACACGTTGCTGTTTAGTCTTTTCACAGGAGAAAGACGAAGTCTACGTATTCAATATCGTAGCACTAAAAGAGTTAACTCTTTTAGCATAACGTCACATGCGGAACGGACTTAAAACAATCCGCATGCTAGCCCGACTCAAACGGTAGTCGGTAAAGGCGCATCAAACCCGTTGATGGCTGAGGATTTGCCAAAAATCCTATAAATATGCGAGTCATTGACGCATCAACTTTATGAGTTGGTCTCGTGACTCGAGCATCCAACGACCTTGGGATAAGATCCATGCTCCAATTCCTTAAGAGCTTAAACCGTGTGTACTCCAGCAGACGTACGAGTATAAACTGTGTCAAATGCCGAACAGTGCATCATAATGAAGCCTGGACGCCGGACAACGCGTCGCAATGAAGCTCAAACGCCAGACAACGCGTTATAGATGAAGATTCAACGCAGTCAATCGATGATAAGTTCTGTGTTGAAGCAGCAAACTCGAGCCAAAAAGTCAAGAAATCAAGAATCGACTTCAAGTTCAAATTCCAACAACGGTCAGACAATAAATGCAGCACCGGAACCCCTACAGGCATTCTACAAAGCACTGAATAGCCTGAAGGAATTGAAGGAATCCAGAACAGAAGTCATTCCAGAGTCCCGTTACACCGACTGAAGGTTGGGACAATCACATCCAAAGTATTCCAGACTCTTCTATAAAAGAATGAGACTGAAATACTTTGGAGGGGGTATCTGTAGGCGTATAAAATTGCCTATAGGTCCCTTAGCACAGCTCGACGCCGATTTAACAAACGGACCACCAGGCGACGTATCCAAACAAGACCGCCAACGCTGAAGCCAAGCTATACGCAACGGAGCAGGTTAACGAGGCGACAAATCGCACCCAAGCATTGGAATGCATCCACTCGCACGCGGAATCAAACCAATGTTTAGGTGAATCACCGAGTCATCTAAACAAGAGCGAACTCGGATGAATCACGATCAAATCAACATCAATTCCGGACTCAAATTCAGAAGTTGATTTACTGCCATATCAGGAACCCGACTCACTGCCAAATCTGGAATCAAGTCAAAGAGTCGTTGCCAAGTCAATCAACCACACAAGAGAACCAGAACCGGAAACAAAGGACGAAACGGACAAACACCCGGGGACTCGGCCGAAACCGAACCACCCCAGGGTGGCTCGGCCCAAGCCGAGCCACCCTGAGGTGGCTCGGTGGCCGAGCCACCCCAGGGTGGCTCGGCCAAGGCCGAGCCACCCTGAGGTGGCTCGGCCAAAGCCGAGCCACCCCAGGGTGGCTCGGCCAAGGCCGAGCCACCCTGAGGTGGCTCGGCCAAGGCCGAGCCACCCATGGGTGGCTAGGCTCAGAACTGTGCAAATGCACAGTTCTGAGTGCCTATAAATAGGCCTTGTGCTCATTTGTTTCAGAGGTTGGAAATTTTGGAGAGAGGCGAAGCCCTGCTGGATTGAAGACTCAGATTTAAAAAAAAAGATCACTACTTTGAAGGCTTGGAGACTTGGACTTTCAGATCCGGTGCTCGGCGATCACCACCGCCAAATAAGGCAGGAGTTCGAGAGGATTGGATTTGAGATCTACACGATCACACTCCGGATCTAAGCTTGGTTCTTAGATCCCGAGATTCGAGCGGTTGTTTCCTTGGTGAAACAATCCCTCCCGGCTATTATTCCCTTGGTGGAATATTACCCGTCATATCGTGTAGATCCGACCGGATCGAGATCACGCGGTGGTCCACGGTAAGCAACCCCGGCGCAGGCAAACAACCCACAGAAGCAAGAGACCGAATAACAGGATCTTGTGATTTGTTCGGTAAAAGAGAGAAGTTGTAATTTTGATTTCTTTGTTTTATTTTGATTTTCATTGTAAGCCGGATCTTATAAAAAGACCGGATCTCTTTGTAACACATAAAGTTGTTAACTGAGTGCAATGATATCAACAATGAAGAAAGCTACGATTTTCCCCGCGAACAGGGAGCTACTAGAACTAACAGGGCTCAACTAGAACTAACAGACCACTAGAACTAACGCTTATATTAGAAAATAACACTAGCTGGAAGTTAGAACTAACATAACATCAGCTAGAACTAACACGAGAGCCACTAGAACTAACATGGGCTCAACTAGAACTAACAGATCACTAGAACTAACGCTTATATTAGAAATAACACTACCTAAAAATTAGAACTAACATGACATCAGGTAGAACTAACACGACATCGGCTAGAACTAACACAAGAGCTACTAAAACTAAAATGGGCTCAACTAGAACTAACATACCACTAGAACTAATACTTATATTAGAAATAACATTAATTGGAAGTAAAAGTAACATGAAATCAGCTAGAACTAACATGAGAGCCACTAGAACTAACAGTGGATCAACTAGAACTAACATACCACATAGAAATAATACTAGCTGGAAGTAAAACTAATATGACATCAGCTAGAACTAACACGAGAACCACTATAACTAACATGGGTTCAACTAGAGCTAACATACCATTAGAACTAACGGTTATATTAGAAATAACACTAGCTGGAAGTTAGAACTAACATGACATCAGTTAGAACTAACACGAGAGCCACTAGAACTAACAAGGGCTCAACTAGAACTAACATACTACTAGATCTAACGCTTATATTAGAAATAACACTAGCTGAAAGTAGGACTAACATTAAATCAGCTAGAACTAACATGAGAACCGCTAAAACTAACATGGACTCAACTAGAACTAATATACCACTAGAACTAACACTTATATTAGAATAACACTAACTGCAATTTAGAACTAACACGACATCAGCTAGAACTAATACGGGAGCCACTAGAACTAACATGGCTCAACTAGAACTAACAGACCACTAGAACTAACGCTTATATTAAAAATAACACTAGCTGAAAGTTAGAACTAATATGACATCAACTAGAACTAACACGAGAGCCATTAGAACTAACAGGGGCTCAACTAGAACTAACACCCCACTAGATCTAACGCTTATATTAGAAATAAGACTAAATAAAAGTAGAACTAACATGAAATCAACTAGAACTAACACGAGAATTGCTAGAACTAACATGGACTCAACTAGAACTAACATACCACTAGAATTAACCGTTATATTAAAAATAACACTAGCTGGAAATTAGAACTAACATGACATCAGGTAGAACTAACACGAGAACCGGTAGAACTAAAAGAGGCTCAACTATAACCAACATACCACTAGAACTAACATTTATATTAGAAATAACACTAGCTAGAAGTTAGAATTAACATGACATCAGCTAGAACTAACACGAGAGCCACTAGAACTAACATGAGCTCAACTAGAACTAACAGACCACTAGAACTAACACTTATATTAGAAATAACACTAGCTGGAAATTAGAACTAACATGACATCAGTTAGAACTAACACGAGAGCTACTAGAACTAAAAGGAGCTCAACTAGAACTAACATACAACTAGAATTAACGCTTATATTAGAAATAACACTAGCTGGAAGTAGAACTAACACGCATAATTCTTTTCTATTATTGTTTGATGTTGTTGCCTTGCGATCTTAGTCGCAGTCAGCGCTTCGGCCACGTCCACAACAAATTAAAGAAAGAACTGATAATAAAATAGCAATAACAACGATAAAAGAGGAGAGGAATTGACCTCACTTTTCATTTATAATTTTCGAAAACAATTACAAATAAAATGTTTTAAAAAAATTCCATGACAAAACAATTAATAAAAGTTTAAGGTAACAAATTAAAACCTAACGTGCTTGATGCACGGTGGGTCCAAGCCAATCGAGCTTTTAATTAACAATCTAGCCAGCGATTTGATTGAACTTACTAGCTCTTGACGAAGCCGTCAATAGACTTGGCCCCGGCGTCCCTCGGCAAGGTGATGTTCCCCAGCAAGTTCTCGATTAGGAAGAGGGACGCCTCCTTATTGATGGGCTCGTGCTTTTTGACCCACTCAGCCCTGGGTCTGGGGTCGCCGTTGGCCCCCTGTTGTTGTACTCGGTGTAGTAGCAGGTCTGGTAGAAGTCGTCCTCGTCCCAAACGGCTCAACACTCGGGCCTAATCACGTCCCCGATCTCCGACTTTATGACCACCATCCTCGCATTCGCCTTCCACGGCCTTCCCAGAGTCTGATCATTTTCAGTGGTCATGGTGGAAGTGAGAGAGAAGGAGAAGTTGAGAGATAGATGGGTGAGAGAGAGAGAGAGATATGTGATTAATGATGGAGAAATTGGGCATAAATAGGGAGGGGCGCAGTAACCGAGTTCAGTCTCATCAAAGTGGCAAGTTCGTAACTTCCATTGGGCTTTTTTTAAAATCCGATACTTTGTGCGCTCGTCACAAATACTGTGTGTATTTGTAGCTTATCCACATAGAATAGAATATAAAAGTCCTCGTCACATGAAGTTTCTACTTTGGGGTCCAGGCACAATTTAATCATAGAATCAAACTCAAAACTATAAAGAGACGTTTAACCAATCCAGATCACCGCCGGTGGGTACAAAGGTAATTAATTACTATAAGTTGTGATGTAATTTATTTGATTGAAAAGTAGATGAGCTGAAATTTATAACCATTAAATAATTTACATTTTAAAATGTTAATTCGGCGATGACGCACCCTTTTCTCCGGCCACTTTCTGGTCCCACTCTGCGGGCCCCAGTTATTCAGTTACAGTCCTGTTCAAATTCTCGGTGCTTCCGGATATTGCTATTACATCAAAAATCAAAAATCGCGAGAAAACCAATACATTGAGTGCGTGGTCTCCCTCTATTACACTTCCCTTATTTAGAACGTTGTCCCCCCGTATTATCTTTTCTTTTCGCTCGCTCGCTCGCTTTCTCTTCTTCTCTTTACTTTTTTCGTTTTAACTCGAAAGAAAATAGGGTTAGGGTTAGGGATCGGAATTGCTTGCTCGACCGCTCGCTTGCTCGTCAGCGTTGCTCTTTACGAGATTCGAATGAAGGGGATGAAGGTGGACCCCTTGGATCGCAATAGCGACATCCAACTGCAGCAGCAGCAGCAAGCAATCATGGATCTCTCAAACTCTAGCAGCGGAGATAGCGGCAACAACTTTGAGTTCGCCTTCAACTGCAGCAATTTCTCCGATCGCGTGCTGCGGATCGAGATCGTGCCCGATGCGGCCGAGAGCAAGTCCGTCGGGGAGGGATGCAGTAGCATCGCCGATTGGGCTCGACATCGAAAGCGGAGGAGGGAGGATATCAAGAAGGAGAAAGGTCTGGTGATTAGCCTCGTTTTTATTTTGTCTTTTGATGCGAGGTTCTTGAATTGAGTGTTAATTTGGGGGTTTGTTGGTAAAAAAAAATGAATTTTTAATAGATTCCCAAAATAACATCTTGGTAACGGGGGGGTTTTATGACAAATATATCTAATAACTGCGGTGTTATGTCTGTTATCGCTATCGATGTATATTTTTTTTGAATTAAGGGTTGAGGAATGGAACTGTCTTAAAATGTTAGTTTTGATGCTGGCGTTTGATTTGATCTCTATGGCTAATTTAATTTGCGGCATCTGAATGGAGATTGTTAGGCTTATTGAAACCTGAGTATAATAAATAATTGAAGAGCTCAGGGCTTGTTTGGATTTGCACCCAATGAAGGAAAGTTAAGGGAACATAGGATAAGTTAAGGGAATGTAAGGGAACATGTAAGACTTGTTGGAAAATTAATAAGGGGAATCAATTTACATAAAGTGAAGGGGACATGTAAAACTTGTTTGAGAACTTATTTCACCCCATTTGGGAGGTTTAACAAAGTGAAGGGAATGTAAGGGAATATATATAAATTTACATAAATACCTTACATGTTATTTCTCTCTTTGAATCTCATCTTGATATGGGGGTAAAAGAGTTACCTTACCTTACCTTCCCCTCCATTACACCCCAAATTGGGGGAAAGAAAATTAACTTCTCCCTCATTAACTAGCTCAAATGAATTCCCAAACAAGGTGAATGTGTCCCCTACCTTCCCTTTACTCACATTACCCCCAATCCAAACAAGCCCTCAGACTTCAGGGTTTTTTGTTTCCTGCTCTCATTTGGCTGACTTGAGTTAAAAAGTAGAGATTTTTATTTCCTGTTCTTATTTGGCTGGCTTCAATAACCATTGAAGACTTCAGACTTCAGTGGTATCCAACACATGACTGTAACTTTATCAAGAATTCATCTGTGGTAAGACTTGGGTTCAGAAATGTAGATTGGGGATGTATTGTTGGCAGTCGAAGTACAATTGAAACTTTCATTGTGATGTAGATGCTTCAAACTCTTTGCTGACCGATTCTGGTTTGACATAGTTCGCTCAAAGAATGATATTGAGTATGGAAGATTTTGCTGCCAAATCCTTTTGGCTTTGGATCTCTCCCTTGCACAGAATTTTGTTGATTCAGTTGAAATGAAGATGTGAATAACATGTCTTCAGAGTTCAAACAAGAAGGTTGTGGTGCCATATTTGGGATGCAATCATTTATATGTCCCTCTCTCCAACTGTTAGGCCACCTGCTATTTATTTCACAGTACATACTAATAATAGTTGATTATTTGTAGATGAATTGAATTTGAATGAGTAGTTAGGCAAATGATCACTGAAGTATTTGGTCAACACCCATACTCGTCGTCTATGGCATTCTAACACCAATATTTTGCTATCAGAGAATTTGTAAGGATGAAAGTCACACCTGAGAGTAATTTCCAAGAGTGATAACTGATAACAACTTTGAGTTCCCAATTTTGTTGGCAAGTGTTCAAAATTGGGCCAAATTTCAAAGCAGTATAGCACACTAAATTTTAATTGGAAAATGTTAATTTTCATTTGTGGTGTCTTTCTATTGGATAAATTTGTTTTTGATAATGAAGCCACTGGGAACCGAACCCAGGACCGTGGGAACCATATTGGAACCTCCCAACCATTTGGGTCATCCGCGGTGCTAATTTTCTTTCATTTATAAGTGTTCTTTTCTTCCCCCAATATATTATTTTACACTTGGCAAATAATTAATCTTGGGTATCCTATAGTTTCGTTTTGTCCATTTTCAAATAGTTGTACTTTTAAAATTTTATTGCCCTTTACTTGCTTATACATTTTCTATGCATTATATCTTTTGATTTTTTTATTATGCAGAATGTCGTACTGATTACTATTTATTATGCTACGTTATTTAGCTGTTGAATTTGATGTCTACAACTCAAACAACTTAGCGAACTATGACCAACCTGATACAGATGATGCTGTAGCATGGGAAAACCATGCTGAGGAAGCTGTTGCAATGATTGAATCTCCGACAGGTACGATTGATCAATGTCTTATCTGAACTTCATGTCATTCACTTATTTCCCTCGGGTGAGGATGAATGAAAATTTTCCATGTTGCATTCTGATTAATTTGAAAACTGAGGAGAAGATGCGTCTTTTTGGATATAACAGTAAAGCATATCCCATAGTTATTTCTTCATTATCCAGTGAGCGCACCTTCTGGAAAAGTTTGTCTTGTATAGGAGATAATGAGATACAATAGGGATAGAGTTTCCCTCTATGATCCTTTATGTTTTTATTCTTGTACAAGATCACCATTTGTTTCTTGCCCGTGTTTAACAAATATAAGTGTACATGTAATGCTCCTAAAGAATGTGGATAAGCTTAAGCATGTTGTTTTTCACAAAAAATAAGGTACATCGCCTCTTATAATTTCTACCTTTGTCCAACAGCACATAGCTTGTATTTACACATACTTCATTGTACATAAATTTAAAATACCTTTTTCGCTTATAGATTATTGATAAGCTTAACTTGTTTTAATTTCATAAAATCATCTGCATTTATTTAAGCTTTAAGGTTTACAAACTCAATTTAGATAAAAATTGTGTTATTGATTATTAAATACATGATAATTGTGTCTAGAATTTTCTTGGTCCCACCAGTTTGATCAATTGTTTTCCAATTTAAGGGATATCTATTTCTCCTTGCCTCGTATATTTTTCCCCATACCTTTGGTATATTGTAAAAGATAGCAAAATGGACACGCTGTTAGATATGGTAACCGTAAACTGACATGCATTTTTACATCTACGTCTGAGTGGGATTGCACCCATTTTAAAGAAAACTTTTCAACATAGTTTAATTAAGCCCCAATAATCGAGTTGCTCTTGTTATGGATTTATATGTGCAGTTAAAGAGTTATTATACTCTTATGGTATACACCTTTTGATAAGGGATAAACCAAAAACGGGTTGGTCAAAGAATATGAAAACAGCTTCTCCACTTACCTCTAAATTGTGGTTGATGGATGTCATCAGTTTCCTTCTTTTTTCTTGTTTCTTTTTTTGACAGTCTATTTGTTGCATGATGTTTACAATGTTGCTCAGTTTTCAGATTGATTTTTATATTGTTTTAGAAATATTGCATATCGCTGACTGTTTATTTCTTGTCGCATGTCTGGCCTTCTTCATTCCTTTTCTGCATGACAATAATAACTTATGTAGCCTTGTATATGACTTCATGTGGTCATGAATTTTAGGGCGCCCGCCCCCCCCCCCCCCCCATTTGTAGCTCATTATTGTTTTCTTTTTAAAATTTTTGAATCTATTGCTTGGTTCTGTTTGCTTTGCAGGCAATGAGCCTTTACAAAGTGATTCTTCCTCGTGTATGGACTGTTCCCCAACTGTGAAATCAATATTCATTAGTTCTGCAATATTAGCTGCAAAAAGCCCCTTTTTCTATAAGGTAACAGGAAGACACAAAATTTGTAAATGGCTTCTTATTCTTATACTGACAAAACGTCATTTATTGTATTATTCATATAGCTTTTCTCAAATGGCATGCGAGAATCTGACCAACGCCATGCCACCTTAAGAATCAGTGAATCAGGTAAGATTTAATAAGCAACTATTTTTCTTAATTTAGATTTATATCTAGGAATCCGAGTATGAAAGAAGCAACATGTTTTAATATTAACATGAAATGATTTGCTGCATTTGAGTGCTGACTGGATTTTCTTTTTCTGACATCTTATTAAAAACTCTGAAAGAATGATTCTTTTTTTCTTTTAGTTCTTTTTCTTTCTTTTTATTGACTTTTCCGTGGTCCATGATCTCATATATATATATGCATCAATATTGTAACAAAATTCTTATAGCAACACAGTAAATCGCAGCATGCGGTGCTTGAAAAACAACTGAATATCTTACTTACATGAACCATGTCAACTTCATGGAAGGATGGACTAGATTGGAAGTCCAAAAATGGATTTGGAATAGGTATGTGCCTAAATTATTGTGATGTTATATGGGATAATGATTGACGGGAGAGAAATATTTTGACTGTCTATAAAATGAAGAAGAAACTTGAAAAATCATGATAGATTTTGAGTTTATTCTGTAGTTTTGATTTGGTTTTAAAATTATCCGAGTCAGAAGTTCTTTATATGCTGGAAAATTATTAGGCCAGAGTCAAAT